AAAAAAAAAATATATATATATATATATATATATATATATATATATATATATATATATATATATATATATATATATATATATGTATGTATATTCAGTGTTTATATATATATATATATATATATATATATATATATATATATAGAGAGAGAGAGAGAGAGAGAGAGGTAGATAGATATATGCATCGCACGCAAAATATTTGTATATAAGTATATGTATATATATCATACAATTATATATATAGAAAAAGTTTCAAATTAAAAAATAATAATGTTTTATTTTGTGAAAGTATTTATTTATCTATATATATATTTAATATTTCAAATTGTCCTCAATTTTTCATCAGAAATAACTGTTTGTTACGCTGACGTCCATTTCTTAATATATGACGTCATTAGTTTACATTTGATACGCCAGAGCAGTTATGAATGTACGAGATTCATGGAAGATTGAAGTTTATAAGCAGTAAATTCGACCTTGTCTATCGAACGCTCCTTTGTGTCCGAGTCGGTTAAGGCACGTCAGCGTAAATGACGGTTCCGTATAGGATGCAGGTTCGAATCCTGTCAAAGGACGAATATTTTCTATGAAAATTTCTCGGACATTCAGGCCGGTAAATGTTATTTAATACTGTTTATTATAAACAGAGCATTTACTTAAATACTTGTATCTATAAAAAAGAACGTTAAACATAAAAATGTCTTTAATATATATATATTTATATCATACACGCCATATAAATATATATATGTATCTTTAACAGAAAATTTATATATATGGAAAATTTATATATATATTGTGCAATTTTTATATATATTATATACGTGCTACATACTGGAAATCGCTCAGTATCAGTGATCGAGCTAACATCTTTATTTGGATTGATGTGAGTTTGTGATGTTGGGTTTCACGCTCTCTGCAACGGAAGATCTATTGAAACCGAGGGTCCAAAACACACGACAATCCAACTAAACATATATAAATATATATGCATATCATAATCCCAATATTTACATATATATATATATATAAACATAACCCCAACTTTGGTAGTGGGCGTTATCTCCAATTTAGATCCCAACAAGGCGAGTGGTGGAGATGGGATACCAGCCATTGTCTTAAAGAAATGCGCGCCTGAACTGGCGCCCGCCCTTTCGAAACTATACAACTACTGCCTCAAGGAATCTTGTTTTCCTGACTGCTGGAAGTCCTCTTCGATCGTTCCTGTCTTCAAGAATTCCGGCGACCCCCCTGACCCTTCCAACTACCGTCCTATCAGTCTCCTTCCCCTCTTCGGCAAAATCTTCGAAGCTCTAATCAATACCGGGGTGGTTAACCACCTCACATCCCATAATCTGCTCTCAGACAAGCAATATGGTTTCCGCTTTGCCAGATCTACAGCCGATGTGCTCACAGCCATCACGGAAACAGTCTACCGAACTCTCCAAAATAACGGGGAAGCCCGAGCCGTGGCACTAGATATCTCCAAAGCATTTGATAGGGTTTGGCACGCCGGCCTTCTCCGCAAGATCCAGGGTTATGGCATTACAGGTCAATTATATAACGTAATACAATCATTCCTGTCAAACCGTGAATTGAAGGTCGTTCACAACGGATTCTCCTCCAGTTCCTATCCAACGAACGCAGGTGTTCCTCAAGGCTCCATCCTAGGCCCCACTCTATTCCTTATCTATATAAATGACCTTCCTGACGCCGTAACTTCTCAAGTCGGCATCTACGCGGATGACACCACAATTTATTCCTGCCTCAAAAACAAATCCAGTCTCGCTGACAAAACTCACCTTGCCGTGCGTCTCGAAAAGGACCTCCAATCGATTGTGAACTGGGGCATGATTTGGCTGGTCAACTTCAACGCTTCGAAGACAAAACTGCTCTCTATTAATCACCACAGAGAGCCTTCCCTTCCCTCCATTAGAATGTCTGACGCTCAACTTCTCGAGAGCAACTCTCTGCGGCTTCTCGGTCTCACGTTGACTGCTGACCTGAGATGGAATAAATACATCGAGTCAATTGCCTCGTCCACTGCGAGGAAAGATGGCTCCCTGAGCCGTGCTAGGAAGTTTTTCTCCCCTGAGTCGATCCTCCAGATATACAAATCCACAATTCGCCCTTGCATGGAGTATTGCTTCCATATATGGTCTGACGCCCCTTCTGTTTGCCTCGGGGTTCTTGATAGGCTCCAGAAGCGGATATACAATATGGTTGGCCCTGCCCTGGCGTCTCGTCTACAGTCACTTTCTCACAGACGCACCGTCACCTCCCTCTGTCTGTTCTACAAATACTTTCATGGAAATTGCTACGAGAAACTGCATTCGCTGGTTCCCAAACTTCATGAGTTCAAGCGCCCTACGAGGCTGGCATCCCGCTCTCACCCCTTCACTGTCGAAACTCCTAAATGTAGCCGTCTCTTCTACTCTAATAGCTTCATGTCTCGCACCTCTCGCCTGTGGAACTCTCTTCCCTTCTCCTGTTTCCCTGAGAGTTATAATCTCCAGCTATTCAAGTGTAATGTCAATCGACATCTCCAGTTGCCTTAATCTATCTACTACCCTTATCCTTTCTTCTATCACTCCTATCTGATCTTCCTATTTTCTGTAACCCCTTGCGTCCTAGTGGCTCCCCGCCTGGCTTGGGGTGAAATGCTTAAAAAAATATATATATATATATATATATATATATATATATATATATATATATATATATATATATATCATAAAGATTGCATGACATTTGTGTCCAAAGTTCCAATACAATCATTTCAGATTGTTTCGGTGTCAATAGGAAAACAGTGCAGTGGATTCGGAAATAGCTGGATGACATCATGCCATTTAGGATGGTACGGCATTTTGAAAAAATCTCTCACTCTCTGATCGTTCTGATAAGAAAATAACTATCGGTTTTGTTGTTAACTGGATCAGACTCAACAGCGTGGCCTAAATGAAGTGTTTTGAGGTGGGAGCGCTACCATGTGTCAAGAGGGTGTCTGCTTAAATATTCCATGTCAGACACAAAATCACATGAAGCCACTCATGGTTGTTAGTGAATTTCTGCGACCACCTTAACTATTATGTCTCGCAAACTAATTCACCAGACTGAAAACACCTTGAATATTATGTATGGGAGCACAGTTGAGCGACAGATCCTAAAAAAGTCTTTGCATACTCTTATATACAGGCGCACCTCTAAAACAATCGATTCTCAGATATTGACTATTGATCTCTCTCCCGAACTTGCACAACCTACACAGTGGTGTAAAAAATGGCTGCTTGCATTCAATGCCTCGTCCTATACCAGACTGGTTACATGCCATCAACGTCAATCTGTCCCTGAATTACCACCAATCGCAATGAACGGAGATCCTCTAGGGAAAGCACCGCGGCTTGAAAGACTTTGTCGTCATAAACACACAAGACCTCAAGTGGAATTCGCACATACGGTTCATTGCTAAGGATGCAGGTAAAATTGTAAGAGTTAAATATATATCATACGCAATGTATATATATATATATATATATATATATATATATATATATATACACACACACACACACATATATATATATATATATCATACACACACAATATATATATATATCATACACATATATGCATGATATACACAAGATACATATATATATATACATATATGTCACAAAATATATATCTATATATGGTGCACACAATATATATATTGCTTGTATCATATATATATATATATATATATATATATATATATATATATATGTATGTATGATATATACATATATATATATATATATATTTATATATATATATATAGATAGAGAGAGAGACAGAGAGAGAGACATAACATATACGCAATATAACATGTACACGAATAAATAATCATAAACACAATATATGTAAATATCGTGCACAATATATATATATATATATATATATATATATATATATATATATATATCATACACAGAATCTTACACATGCACACGAACACACACACACATATATATATATACACGTTTTCTGGGTCACCATCTTGAAATGTCGTTTATTTCTGCGGTAAGAGAAATTGATCTTGCTGTCAGACCTTTTCTCTACAAATGTTAAACATTGCAATAAAAAAATAAAACATTACATACAGGGAAAAGAAAAGAACGAATCGGTGTAACAGTATAAATATTGTAAAACAGAAAACGTGAAGCCAAATCAGGAAATTTGGATGGACAATAAAGAATATCTACACGAGACTAGGAGAAAGCAAATTCTACGCAAAAAGTAAAGAAAAGCTGAGTAATTGAGGAGTAATAAAAAAAAATGGAGGTGACATTGTGAAGGGATTGACACCTGCACTTGTAAAGAAAAAAAAATAGAATTTTACCCGGCAACTATTGAAGGAAATGAAAACGTTTGTAAAATAATTAGTGAAAGAAAATAAAGAAAGCTTAAAGTGCCATAAAGATAAAACAAACATGCTAAAAAGAAAGGAAGGATGTTGTCAAAAGAAAACAGAATTTGATACGTGAAAAATAATTTTGAAAGCCTCAGAGAAAAAATGTAACACTTGGAGAAAAATAACTGAAAGAGTTAGAACGAGTTAATTAGCGTTAGCAAATAAGAATAGGGTTAAGGAATGAAACTTGTACAACGAGCGAAAGAAAAAGAATTTCATTTTTTAGGATAACTAAAAAAAGAAAGAAGTAAAAAAAATAAATATATATTCTGTAATAAACAAAGGAATTGACCAAATAAAAATGAAATATATAATACGGCTTATTTACTTCGGTGAAAGACAAAATGACAAAGAGAAAAGAGGAAGCAAATCAATAGACACAGCGATGAAACTTTACGAAAATGACTATAATTTATTTGTTGATCTTACTTGAGCAAAGAAAGAATAAGGAGTGAATGAGAATGGAAAAGGAGAAGAGAATAATTAAGTAAAGTAAGAGATGGAAAAAAATGAATCACTGAGTAAAGAAAGAGAATAAAAAGCTTATGTCTCAATAACCGAGTAAAGAAATAGCTTGAAAGAAAGAACATAACTCTGTAAAAATAGGAGGAAAAAGAGAATAAATGAGTAAATAAAAAGAATGGAAAAGCAAGAGAGAATAACCGAGTATAAAATAGAGAATGGAAAAAAGAAAAGCGATATAGCTGAATGAAATAAGAAAATGAAAAAACAAAAAAAATACGGGGGTAGAAGGAATAGCCGAGTAAATAATTATAATGGAAAATAAAGGGAAATAACTGAGTAAAGAAAGATTGAAAAAAATAGTAACGGACTAAAGAAAGATAAGAAGGAAGAGAAAATATCTGATGAAAGAAAGAGAATGAAAAATAGAAGATAATAATTGAATAAATAAATAACCGGAGAAACTATAAAATAGAATAGAATGCATAATTCTTTTTGTCTTGTTTGAACAGAAATTATAAATGAAATAAAGAAGAAAAGGGAAAAAATAGTATGAGAAAAAAAAGGGAGCAAATGAAAAATGAAGAAGTTTTGTCTTTTTATATTGTCTTAGAAATGAATGAAAGAAAATGATTAAGTAAAAAGATCGAAGAATAAAAAAAAAATTAGATTCATTATTTCTGTTTTTAGTATTGTCATTTTGATTGAACGAAAGGAATATGAAGTAAATCACGAAAGAAGGCGTGATCATTTGATAAAGTGAAAATAGACTTTATCAAAACAAGAAAGTAAAGAATAACAAGAAAGTAAATGAAAAACAAAAGAAAGGAAGAAAAAAGAAAGTTGAAAAAAAAAAGAAAACAAAAGAAAGAAAGAAGAAATAAAGAAAGAAAGAAAGAAAAAGAAATACAAAAGACAAAAGCAACTGTAAAAAAAGAAAGAATCAAAAAAAGAATAAAAAACAAAAGAAAGAAAGAAAAAGAAAGTGGAAAACGAAAGAATGAAAACAAAAGAAAGAAAGAAAAAAGAAAGTTGAAAAAAGAAAGAAAACAAAAGAAAGAAAGAAGAAATAAAGAAAGAAAGAAAGAAAGAAAGAAAAAGAAAAACAAAAGACAAAAGCAACTGTAAAAAAAAGAATCAAAAAATAATAAAAAACAAAAGAAATAAATAAAAAGAAAGTGGAAAACGAAAGAATGAAAACAAAAGAAAGAAAGAAAAAAGAAAGTGGAAAACGAAAGAATGAAAACAAAAGAACGTACTTTATGTTCACTTTTTACCATTGCTTTTGGCAAAAAATAAGAATCCAATTGACCAACAGAACAGTTCAGTGAATTTTCCATGACGCCTGTTCATTGTAAACAAATACAAGTTGTTGCAGATTTCATAGTATCAGGGGAAAAAAGTAACACCCAAAAACTGTTTCCAAACCTAGTAATGTGATATATTTAGTAACGAAATTTCACAACAGAATGAGATATCTGTATAAAATGTGGTCGAATGAAATCAACACAGGTAATCTAATCACGTGACTGAATTACGCATAAGGGTCTTGTGTGTGTGTGTCTCTCTCTCTCTCTCACACACACGCACACACACACACACATATATATATATATATATATTATGAAATGGATTAAGTCCGACAATTTTTTAATATATTTTCTGTCTATACGTCATTTTAATAAATACAATTTCTTTTAAATAAATGCTTTGTTTTTTTTTTCTTTTTAATAAACAGTATGCATTACATTTACCGACCCAATCTATCTATCTATCTATATATATATATATATATATATATATATATATATATATATATATATATATATATATATATATAGATAGATAGATAGATAGATAGATAATGTTTTGTGCGTGCGTGTGCGTGTCAGTATGCGTCTGTGTGTGTGTGTGTGTGTGTGTGTGTGTGTGTGTGTGTGTGTGTGTGTGTGTTTGTGTGCGTGCGTGCGTGCGTGCTAACCACAGTGCCAAGCTAAGAATTCAGAACTTCGTTAGAAAGGAAGATTTAACAAATTGCCGTTTGGAGGTTAGCATAAGCCATACTAATTGAAACTAAAAGGAAAGTTTCCTTTTTATGATGAAAGAAGAATAGTTCAGTTTTGATGGCGTTCATGCAAGCGATCTTCCCTGCTGGATCTTGAATAACATCAATCATTCCAAGTCAGATGGAAGCTCATCAAGTTCTCAGATTAGCGCCCTTTGTCAATGCGCAAGCGGACCCCTTATGATGATTAACGGAGACGTCCTGTTTCTTTTCCGGGAAGTTGGAAATTGTCAGACGGAATGTTTACCTGTAAAATAATCTATATCTTTCTTCCCTCCTCATCATACATTTTTTATTCTATATGGACAATTAAAGAAAATTAACAGAATATCAAACTGTGAACATTCTAAGCATTATTGCAATTTTAAGATTTCATTAATATTATTTGCTGCAAGGGAAACGAGAAATCCTTGCATTTTTTATAATGGTGATTAGAAATGCCCCTTTTATTCAAAGATACAGTCGGAAATACATTACAATTCCTCGTTTCATCACCAAGCAACCAGCACTAACGCTGTCCAGTGATTTAGTAAATGTGAAAACGCCATCTGTTATCACTGGACCTAAAATGACATTCACGATTATTATTGGCACAGCATGATAGTCAGCCATTTCGTTGAATGGGATGGTGCCACCAACTATCTCTGTTGATTCAGGTCAAAGATAAATACCGTGTCTGGTTCAGAGGTCAGTCTGCGTGGAGCCTGCCCGGTCATCAGATCGTTTCTGATACTCAAAATACATCACAGTATTTCCATTTTTAACAGAATATTGGCTATTAAGTGACGAGAATGCACGAAACGAGTAAAGTGCTTAATAATATCTCCAAACAGCTGGCACTTTTAAAGTTATTCGATAGACGAGAGAATTAGTGGTTTTAGGGGTTCAAAGGACTGAAGTGCGTAAACTGAAATTAGAAGAGGCAATGGAATAGCCAAAATATGCATTCCAAAAGCAGAGCAGTCTATTAAGAGACGGAAAAAATGTCGTTCGAAATCAAAAAGTGTACTGAACTGCTATGTGACATTTGTCCTATATGTCAGTGAATGTTGGGCAATCTCATCAAAGATAAAGAAGATCCATAACGCAACAGAAATGTGCTTCTACAGAAGGATGCTGGGGATAATATGGACCGAACAAGTGAGCAATGATGTACTTAAAGAAAAAAAAAAAATGAAACAAAAAGGGAACACACACTTAACATCAGGAAAAGAGAGTTAAAATTTCTGGAGCACATAATGACGAAGGAGGGTTTGGAAAATCCGATACTCACAGGTTTGTTTGAGGGCAAGAGGGATCAGTTATAAAAAATATAACATACTTAATAATCTTGAGTAAATGGATGGAGGAACAGGGTTTAGGAAAATATAACGAAATACAAAATTTATTAAGACCCAGAAAGAACAGGAAATTATGGAGAAGCATGATGGATTCTGTCTTCGATATCTGGCAAATGAGGGAACGAGAATTATTTTTAACCAAAATAGCAACATTTCTAATTTCTTTTTCTTTTTTTGTTTTTGTTTTTATTCATTTATTCTTATAGAAATGTTTTTTTGCCGCTTGATTGTCTTTGCTAAAATCTACATGTCTCATTTACTGGAAACCAAAGCGACAACGGCCAAGTAACAATTCGTTCAAACATCAGAAAAAAAAAAAAGAACGATTCTGTACTTGGGGAAGTTCTGAGGAGTCACTAATTACAAACTGAACGACTTTATTGCCAGGAACAAAAAAAATTAGAAATGCAATTTTGCTCTCGAAAATAAACCCAGGCGTCTACTGCAAGAATGATCATTTATCAATTATATGCATGTTAAGAATAACACAGTCAAAATGAAAATAACACAACGTAATGATTACACTGAAGTGTGAAGAGTTTTACAATAAATTCAATTATGTATATGAACTCGCAGTTAGGAAGCAGAAAGAACTCGGGACAATTGCAACGAAAATCATATCGTGAAAGACAAGACATAGAAGCAGAGTGGGAGTGAATTTTGTAATCATTTCACCCCAAGCAAGGCGACAATGCCACTAAACTGCAGGGTGTATAGGGAGTGAAAGTAAAAGAGAATAAGAAGAGTGAGAAAGAAATAAAAAAAGGAACAGTGTTCAAGAAAACAGAAGATGGCGATTGACGTTGTTTATATATTTTTGAATATTATAGTTATCAAGGAAGCAAGTAATCGGAAGTGGGTTTCACGGGTGGGAAGTGTGAGTAAAGAAACTCTTAGAGTAGAAGTGGTTGTTGCATCTCGCTAGTTTAACAGTAAAAGGGTGTTACCTATTTGCCAATCTAGTAGCACGCTTAAATTCATATAGTCGAGGCGTCAGGGAAGCAAGGTCATCAGAGCCATGAACATATTTGTAGAAAAGAGAGAGAAAAGCCACGTCAGGTCGCTGAGAAATGGACTGACTTCCAAATGTCTCGTCAGGATTGATTGCATTACTGGAATTTGTCGCAAGGTTTTTTCTTCACCTAATGAAAGGAAGAGTAGGCAACGCATAAAAAAAGCAAAAAACGAATGTAAGTTTAACAGACGGCGCTAAGAGAAAAGTGTAAGCAAGCTAAACAGGAACTATTAAATAAAAACATAAAAAAACTGTACAGTGGTCGACAAACTAAAGGAGTCAGATGAAGCGTGTATCCACAAAAATTACATCAAGAATATATGAAATATGTTCGTCGTCAGCGGGAATAAAATCCAATGACGAAAAGCTTATTGGAAAAGAAAAATTACTGCTACCGTGGAAGGCATATATAGGGGAACTATTCTGTGTCAATAAAGGAAGGAAACCTGAAATGCGTAAAAGCATGGAAAGACCCGTCAAATTAAAATCTGAAGCCCGAATAGCAATGGAAAAGATGAAAACTAACAAAGCAAGACTTCGTCATAGATCTGCTAAGAGCCGGAGATAACTTTGAGGATTAACAAGGTTACTGAAGAGATAAATGAATTACGCACTAATGGCGAAATCCTGGGAAATCAAAGAAGACCAATTATCCTAACCTTGTCAAAGAAACCAAGTAAAGACGAATGCAAGCTGCAGCAAATAATCATCTTGATGAATCACATAACGAAATTAATTATTAGGATTCTAATGAATAGAGCTAGACGCAGTGTTACACTGGAATTAGTGTCAGAACAATAAGATGTTGCATAAGGCGCTCGAACGTGAAATGTTATATTCATTGTCAGAATACTAGCAGAACTAGTAACAGAAATGTCGAAATAAGTGTAGCCAGATTTTATAGAATACGGGCAGACTTTCTAAAAGGCGCAATACGAAAACTTTTTGAAATGAGAGAAACGACTGATCTACCGTTTGATCATAAACTCGGGATACTTGAGAAATACCACTTATAATAGTGTGCTTGTGGTGTCAAAAATGACAGCAATTGTTAGAAAGTTTTAAGAGTGAAATTCGATGAAAAAAACAAATCTTCAAACAATGTGTCCAGATTCAATAAAGCAAAGATAAAGAATTCACGACTAACGTAGAGGCCATTGAACCGTTTCATTAATCCGATCACTTTATATTCTTTAGATGTTCAATGGTATCTATCATTCATTGATTACTCTTGGTATTATATAAGTCGCATTTTGCTCAACATATTTTTATATTAAAAAAAATATAATATTTTATGTGTTTAATATAACAGTGAAATGGAAATATCTCTCGGAAGATAAAGATTTATAACAAATATAATTATATACACTAGGCGACGATAAAAATGGCGACGACAAAACTTATTTCAAGACAAAATTGATGCAAGACGATCATTTAACATGAAAGGCTTGAACAAATAAGACTAAATCTAAGAAACGTAGGAATAAACGAATCGATTAATTAAACGATTTATTTTGCTTCGGAAGTAATTTTGCCTAAATTCAGATAAATATTTTATTTGTATAGATTATTAAAACGAGTAAAGGAAGTAATCCCTCATAAATTTTCTAACAAATAGATTTATCGCTTAACCGACTATAGATGGGTCAGGAAATATATGGATAATATATATTGATAATTATTATATGGTTTTATTATTTACTAGAGATTATTATAAGATATCATTTTTTATTGAGAACGATTTATATTAACTTTTTAAAACAATATAATAAGGTGGTCACATTAAGATTTAAATCACTTGAACCTGATGAGTTGGAATTATTTAAAAAGCACATAAGTACGTTAATTTCCGTCGAGTTTATTACATTCACTTATGTACCTTGGGAAAGGTACGAATTCAACTCTTCTAACCACGCGCCCACCCAATAGTTATGGGTAAATTGTAAGACAGACTGGGTTCTATAGCTTTGGGCAGCAACCAGTCTAGGAGAATTCAAACCGGACTGGAGAGAGTGGGCTCCATCAGGCTATCCTGCCCAAGAAACGCTAATTCTACTGAGGCTGCAGTATATGGGATGCCACTACAAAACTAATCGCTTATGTGATTTAAAGAAATAATCCATTTTAGAAAAAAAACAACTATGCTGAATTAACAATAAAAATCCATGGAGTTTTTTTTTTTTTTTTAAATATTTAGAAAGTAACTCGTAATCATTACTGCGAAATAGAGTTCGTCGTTGCCGTATTTATCGTTCAGTTGCTAATCTTTTTCTCCTGAGAGATATTTCCATTTCAGTGTTTTATTAAACATATAAAATGTTTAAAATAAAAAAATATATATATATTGAGTAAAAACGATTTATATAGTAGCACGAATAATCACTGAATCACAAGTACCATTGAATGCCTAAAAATGATAAAAGAATCGGATTAATGAAACAGTTCATTGGCCTCTACTATAGATGTGACTTTTTTATTTCCGCTTTATTGAACCTCAATACATTGCTTCAAGACTTTGTTTTCTTGCTTCTCACTATTAAAGCTTTCTAAGAAACACCGTCATTTTTAACAGCACGTTGTACACTAGTGTAATAAATATTTTTGTTAACGCAAAACTTTATTTGTATAGAATTATTTGCCTTAGAGAGTTCCATTTCAGAAGTTGGATTGCAATCATCAGCAAGACGCCTATTTTTATTTCTATATTTTCTGTTGTATTTTGTTTATTGTTTATTGTTATTTTGTTTTTGTCTACCATTCATAATTTTACAAGAGTACTGAATTTAGTGACATAAACTACGTCTCCATGATATTCCTTTATAGGAGAAATTAAGTATTGTTAAATATAATGAACACCCTCTGTTATCAATACTGCTCTTTGCTGAGTTCATTTGTCTGGAAATTTTACATTTATGAAAAGCCTGATGTCAAAATATAATTTAGTATCTGTTCGTAATTATCATTTCACAGGCTTAGAGATTTCTCTTTGCATTTTAACTAAACAATCGCTGTATTTTACTAAGTCCTAAAGCGTTGTAGTTGAAATGAATTCGTTTTTCTCGCACGCTATATAAAGTTTCATAGCCTGAAACACAGGAAGGCAAATCTCCAGGAAAATGAAAAAAAAAATCTTCTACAAGAAAAAGAAACGTTAAGGACGAAAAAAAA